TATATATTACGTCTATATGTAACATTTATAAAAATTTACAAAACTCAACAGTCGTTGAATAATCAGTAGCAGCTCAACAGCGGTTACTTCGTGAGGTTTAATTTCCTCAATTTACTATTGAGCGTGATCGAGTATTCGTTCTTCTACGAACGCATAGCACTTGCCTCTCTTTCGAAAGTTTTGTTATTTGCTAGTAGCATTTTTTTGCTGCCACTTTTTCTTTTACTTGCTTACATATCAATTAGCTGACGCAAACGGTAAGATAATTAATTTAGTTATTTGTATGAAAATTTCACAATATAGTTAATGCCCTTGTTTTTTATTTTGTCTGGCGCTCTCTGTCAGAACAGGGCAGTGTTCGCGGACAAGACTCGGCCGAGTAGACTGTCGCACGAGACAGAAAAGTCGAGTGAGCTTTTACCTATCGGTGGCAATGATTTCAACCTGTCTACTTATACGCACCCATCGATATCCAATCGCTAACTTTTTACTTAGATGTTGCGACGGCTATCGGCCATTGCTCACGGTATAAACATCTTTGATCATCGGTGTGTAGATAACAGATCTGCATACAACTGTTAACATTGTCTTTTTAAATCAATCCCAATAATCCTGGTGGGGTAACTAAGTGAAACAACATTGTTGACAGCTGTTGTTGCCGCAGTGTTATACTAACATATCAGTATAATACCATCAAACCTAAACCGGCAGGACGAAGGAGTATGCTTCTGATTGAGAAGGTTGCTACGGCAAGGATACATCTGCGCTACAACATACTGATAAAGGAAGCAGTCTTCTTTAATTCTTTCGACGAATTAAAACACTGCAGTAGTTAACAGGTATTGATCACCATGCGAGTCATCATCCTTCGTAAGCGCCTCGAACGGCTTCAGTTGTTTTCGTATAACATTTACTAATTCGTAGTTGTAAAACGCCTCTCCCTGTATCAATTAATTGTAATTATCATCGCATCGTCACAACTCTCCGTTTCTTCTTTAATTTGTGTCGAATCACGGCACAACGGCTGTGCTGTTCTTACTCAGGATAATACCTTGCACAAGTATTTTATTTGTATCTATATTATGAATTCAGGTAGAAGTAAGAAATAAACGGAAGAAGAGAAATAAAAGGACGTAAACATCTTTTGACCTTTAATTTGTTCGGTAAGCTACAGAATCAACAAGCTCTATTAAAGAACTCAGATGTGACATAGCCATTTCTGTTCATAATGTGAAAACGTTATGGCTACCTTTTACGGTAAGATAGAAGAATTTCAGTTAGAAGAAGCCTTTCGACTGGATTATTTGTTGGCCTCTGATCCGTTCCGCGGGGTGGCACGCGTCGGCTTGGCCGACGACGCGTCGACGGTAGTGGTGCACAATTCGCGCACCTGATTCAAGCTGCCTTCAAGACTTAATGCAAAAAAGTCACTCGAGGTTACTGACGCTGAGAAAAAGGACGTAACGCAGAACAGCATATCATTCGCATTGATCGTGTACGAACAGCCATAGCCATGCGGAACAACGGCCCCGTAGCCTACCGTTATCCTGGACTCGTTCGGGAGCTATCCGCATCACAGCGTTTGTTTGGATAGAGTGACATAGAGAGAAGCAGGATAAGGATAACACACACAAAGAAGTACGATTAGTTAGAACTTAGATTAATGATTTCACTATGTTGATCTATCAGGAAATTGGGTAAGACAATACGTGTAGCTACTGTTTCTTTAACAAGTGTTATTGTTAGAATTGCATAGGCGTTAGCCGCAATCTGTTCAACAGCTCTCTTTTGAGAATGTACGGGCAAAGTCATTTTCAATGAACGAGATAAATCTGTGCCACCCTTGTTCAATGAAGCCTAAGTTATACCTGACTTGTTGACAATTGAAAGTTAAGAAACTCCTTATAAGAGCTGTCTTCAAACAGTTTACACCTCAGCTGAAGCTTTCTCGCTGTTTCGCGTAGAGCCAAAAGATGGTTATCCGGCGCCATTCCGCCTATGGTCTGAAAGTAAAGAAATCTGCCATGAAACCGGGCCAGCGTAATGCCGCGAGCATTGAACAAAGCGTTCGTTCTGCAATACCTTCTGTTGGAGTCAAAATGATCTTGATGGTTCGATGGTGATAATGGCGCCCTATTATTGCTTCGCATGTAAGCGGTATGGGCCAATGATTCTAAACTGCTATGAACGACTTACATATTTTAGAATCGCAGTTTGTTTCGCCACTGCCCTTCGGAACAGGTCTTGCTTTTGCCCCAACTGCAAGGTAGCAAAGAGAGCAGGAAAAATAGTACGAGGTGAATGAAAACTAAATAGAAACGAGGAGATAATGTCGGCTCGTTCGTCCCAGTCCGACCATATTATTGATGTTTATAGATAAAGGGCAACAAATAGAAACGACGAAAACATGTTGATGGCGGAGTAGCAATACGATATTACGACATACTGTTAAATGCTGGTTAGAATCATCACAGATAGCCCGAACCCAGTCATAAGCTTCGCGAGTGGCAGCTCGGATATTATCGGCGCGTCCTAGACGGAAGCGGCGCAGAGATGCGCTTTCGTACGTAGAGACCAGTTTACGGTGCACTCTGTAATCGTCGGAAGACCAATTGATGTATAACACCTAGTCTATTCGATACATGTCATGTACGATAGGTTTAAAAACGTCTTCTTGTTTTGATAAAAATTATCTGTCTTCATGGTTGAAGTCGAGCTGTTCCCATATTCATCTCATATCCGACGAGAACTAGTCTGACCCCGCTCATTATTGGATTCTTGCTTTAAGTGCGGTTTCCGAGTTAAAGCTGCACGCCAGAGATTATAACGTAATAAGCATCGAGATATTAGTATTATCGTTAGACGATCTTGTCTAGTAAGTATAATATACGAGCTAATCTATAGTATAATGTAAGTGTAACAACTCAACTTACGACCATAACTCACTTATAATATGTTAGTTGTAACGCCAATTGCACGAATACATCGGGGCTAATATTTTGTGATTTCGGAAATTCTTTACCAAATTCATTGAAATGAAGCACATATAGGTCAACGTCTTCAACAGCCCTGTAACAAAGAAATCGCCGGGTATGTAAACACGTTCAGAACTCAATACTTTGTACTTCACGGTAGCAAAAAAAAACTGAAAACGTTTAGGGTTCTTATTGATTGGTGTGTGAATCGCTTGAAGAAGTTTTGTTCAGGCGCCAGATAACAGCTGCGTGAAGGTTTGGTAAATAGTTACGCAATGAAATGTTACGTACTTCTGTAGTTTTTCTTTCGCTATTACTATGGCTTGTTCTAGAGTCGACGTTAATTTCCAATGCATACGTTCCGCCGTTACGCCAGTACATGACCAGTCGATAGGTTCACGAGATGTACTGCGCAAATCTTCAAGGAACATCTCCATAAAGCGAAGAAGAGTGATGCCCTCTGACTGCGAGTGTTCCATAACTACGCCACAGATCCCATCCGCCCCTACTACAACCTGTAATGAACCGATAACACATACTTAGGGTTAGTTTGTGTCAACGATCTTACTACCGGCGCTGTTTATTCAGCTACACTCGTAGAACATATCAACTGTGAATGCATGGGGATGAAGCCAACGAACTCGATGAAGGTGGCTGAATAAATAAAGACGCTCTTCTCTTTTCCTGTCACTGGCAGTCGTCTGCCGAACGCCATACAGCCGCTAACTAAAAGACCACCTGCAGTGCTGCAACAGCAGCAAGTTAGCCTTAAGCTAATTGGCTGTGCTCGTCAAACTAATCCAACCTAGACTGAACTAAAAGGGGCAAAGTGGAGCGAGGAAGAGAAGCCATTTAGGGAAAGGCGGGGGGAGGGGTGAGGATAAGTAACGATCTCCTAGCTGCTGTTGAGTTAAAGGGACCAGGGGTATTCTGTGCAGTGTTACTATAAACTAAAGCAACCAGACTAACGGAACAACGGAGACACAGGTTTAAGCAAAGGCGCGTTAACTCAAAGTTAGGCGGTCGTCCTTTACACCCCTTATCCCCTAGGCTCCTCTTCCCCTAACGGCTCGAGGAGGGGTGTTCAATAAGTCCGCTAGACGGTAGGAGAAAGTTTCGCATACAAGAGGCTCAAGTAGCGGCAGAAGGATGAGTGCAATTCTTGTGGCCACGTCGAAGCGCCTAGAAAACCTTTCTGAGTACCCCCACCTCATAGACAAGTGCGCTAAATTGCTACTCTCCCGTAGCCCGTGTTGTACAGTTGTAGATTGTGTTATTGTTGTGCCCTTGTCGCTTGCGAACTAAAGGAAGGAGGCGAAATTGGAAAGGAGTGATAGTATAGACGACGGATTTAAGTGGCTTCTGTTTTGAGCTTCATTCGACGACATTTTCGCCTGGGGCCAGGGATTACCGACAGCCGTATGAGCCGGTAGATACGAGGCGAGTTGCTAGTCCTGTGCGTGTGTGCACGAGTGTGCTCCAAACAGCCGTCGAGTCTCGCAAAGGTAGTGAGCCATAAACCCCGCAGGGAGGAATGTTCGGTGGTTCTCACCACCCCTACCTTTGTTCCTTACAAAGCTTCTAAGAAGTCTTGCAGGTTCACTCATTTGACTACGCCACAGACCTACATCCACGTAGTAGACATGTTACGCACATAAAATTCGATAATGCCCAGTAGACCTCTGCATCGGACAGAATGCTGGTACGACGTCCAGAGGCCCGAATAGTTTTTGGTCGACGCCGACGACATGCCGCTTGTGGCCTAAACCAGACAGCGGTGTCGTTGGCCTGAATCATCGGCATTACGCACAGTAATCCATCCCTCTAATAACAGTCGAGCGATCTAGCTGCTTTAGCTAACTAGGAACGTATTTTAAGTGATGGCTTTAAGCACATCCCTTACAATTCAAAAGAAAACAGCTTTAGTAAGCGATGCTTCAAGCAGTAGTCTCTTTCCTCGGTGATAATATGGCCTACCCCTTTTGAGGACATTTTCTTTGTTCTTTTGCTGCTATGGCTCTAACTGACCTCGCGACCGGTAAACGCCGATCGCAAACATTGACGTACCTGTAGCGTCTTATCGTACCACCGGTTACACGAATTTATGTTGATGCCTTTCCCGTGTAACAAATTCTCGCACTGCTCAGCTTTTGTAGGGCCGGATAGCGTCGGAGGTAGAGCGTCGTCCAGACACAATACTAATAAGCACTGCTCCAGTGCCTCTGTGTATCCGAAACAACGTCGCGAACATTAGAGCATAAAATCGAGGTTACTACAGTGACTGTTAGCGATCGTGTCTATCTCGAATACGTACGTTATTGCTGACCTATGAATGATACCGATAGTTACATATTGTTCGACAACAAAAAGGCACGGCTTAACAATATCTGCTCAGTCTAATCGATACAAACTACTACGAGGAAATGGTAAATGCTAATCATGACGTCAGCACGGTGTCTTACGATTTATTGGCAATACCATTGTTTCTACGCTATTAGACTGACTTATGATGCAATGCTAGGTACAATTTATTGCTTATAAAGGAAGCAAGGACTCAAAAAAAAAAACGACTTTACATATTTAGCCAAGAATAGGAGATATGTAAGTTACAGTAATGGTAAGTTATACCGACATAAGTGAAACACGTTTGCAAGGGCTAGCGTGGCTAACAAATTGAGCTAACATACGGGAATACTCACCAATATGGCCAGGGTTCTCCTTACGTAAAAGCTCGTAATGAACTGCCCATTGAGCTCGAGGCTGCGTTGTAAGTACTCCCACATGAGGGCTATCGGATACTGAGGTAGATGAGCGGATGTTCAGTAGGGCGCTAGCTATGTATGTCACTGTGGTTTCTTTCTCCAGATTAAGACGGTAAAACTACAACATAAGCAAACAGCATCTGTATATGATTCAATACCGATACGATCATTTGATAAAATCAATCAATCAATCAGAGATTAGACTGAGAGTGATGCATAGCGCCATCTGATCACAACCAAGATGACAGAAACGACTTACTTATTATTAATTAATGGACTTAACTTAATCGAGTGTAATATATCTATGCAACAAATACTATGGATAAAATTCTTATCTCTCAATCAGATTTTTAATGAGAGTCGAAATACTAGATATAGGCATTTCACTCATCTATAAAGGAAGAACAAAAACAATAAAAACGGATTCGTTGTGGGTTAACGCGACAACTACGTATGCGTTACAATACAGTCTTCGATCTGGGCACTTGTCGACAAAGCGAGTCTGCTTGGTCCTCAACTTAACATGTTTAATTTCAACATGTTGTACAACGAAAAGCAAACAATATATAGACATAGAAGCGATATATTTAAAATACGACGCAGTATTATAATTAAATTAAATATAAAAAGAAAAAAAAAATGATTGGGCCCTAGACGTTTAAGAGCGTTTGCCAGTTGTGTAAATGAATCTGATGGGCATCAGATTAAGTGAGCAAACACTTAACTATCCGTAAATTACTATACATCAAAAGAACGTATGGTAACAAAAAAAATTATCATAAGAGGATTATGGCAATACATTTCAAAACGTAAGTAACTCAATGGTCTTCTGTCTCACATAAATAACAGTAATCAAACGGTTCACAAGGATACATGAGCAATCAATTGCGGCAGTATAACAAGCGATGTAAAGGTACTATCGCCTCTCGCATCGCAGAGCGATGAAATCGATTTGACCCTTTAGTCTGTCAACGCTACCACCACTGTTACCATTTTCAAGGGGGGCAGGGGTAAAGGAATGAATTAGGTAGGCGCAAGTTGAATCTTTCTGTTTAGTACGATACACCACCCCCGATGGGTACATTGGAACACTGCAGTACGCCAGTTAATAATGCATAAGGCTACTTAGTAAGTGAGATCTCCGCCGAAACTAAATGGCTGATTCGCACAATCACTTCACAACCTCTATTTGCCTCTTTACTCCCCTGTCCACTTTTCATTGTTTACAGCTCTTTGAAGACGGCTTCCTTTGTACCATTGTTCACAACCCATAAGAAGAAATCAGGTAATTAGCTATACAAGAAATAGAGATGTTTACACTTCCACTAAATTGTCTATCGCATGCAAGATCAGCGAGGAGCTTTCAGTGAAGTTTCATTGACATATACAATTCAAGCACATTTCACTGGATACCCCGCTTCACGATTAGCACCCCCCAAAAAATGATCAAGCCAATTATCAGTTGCGATACAAAATGAACGAATGCAACTATAATAGCTCCCTATTCTTACAGAAGAACTTGCCTAAGACCATCTGAGGTGGCCCATATTGGAATAAATAATCTAAGAAGAAATATATATATATGGAAATATGGAAAAAGAATCTATATTGTATTACCGCGCAGATCAAATAATTAAGACGAATCTAGATCTCACTTTATTAAACCGGCTGGAACAATTATTATTCTTTCTTGTACTCCATTCAACGAAGACTCTGTTTTTTACCCACTCTATTTATTTTATTATTATCGGCATATCTAATGCCGATATTTTGTTCAGTATGCAAAGTCTTGTGTTCATTATTAGATAAAAGGACCTCTACTGAACTGACCAGTCCACGATGGGCAGCTGGGTTACGTCGCTGTTCGTGGAGAGATTACGAAGCAGCGAGGAAACTGCTACGGACAAAATATTTCTTTATTTCGGCCCCAGAGTAAGACCGCTTTTTCTCTTATTTTCCTTCTGAAGAATATATTAAATAACAGACACTCAACATCCTTACGAAAGACTTGATGATACGCCCATGAACTCCGGTTTGCTTAAGCCAATCAGGAATGGAGGGGATCGTTCTGTCAGTGGGATTCCCCGCCCATTTGTCGCTTAAGCCGGTCCTGACAATTCAATGAAGATGTCTATATTTGCCGATGCGTCGATGAGGCCTATCACCTATTCCTTCCTCAAGCCTTGGTCCCCGCCGTTCGGCAACTTTTCCAAGGGTTTACTCGTCTACTTCGTCATTCGCCTTCTTAGTGAGAGACTAGCACAACTTACTGCATGTGGTTGCTTGATAGCGGCAAAAGCAGTGGAAGAAAACAGTACTATTTTCTCTTTGGCCCTTTAGCAGTGGGCCGTGCTCCACACGGACGTCTTCGTACGTCCCTTCCCCTAAATAGCGTGCTGGTATTTAAGTTCACCCTGGACCCAGCCTGAGCTTCCTGTACTTCTGCGCGACTATCATCATCTGCTTTCAAAGCATTTGGCACTGGCTGGGTCTATGTGCCGCTCGAGGGACAAAGAAGGTAAAATGTTCTAGCCCGGAGCCGGCTGCATTGAGTTGAACACTCGGCACCGAGGCTGGCGATGAAGACGGGATGTGGAGAATCAGTGATCGGAGAACATTGGGCCTATGGGGGTTGTCTGAACAGCATAGTGATGCTAGTGGCAGTCGTAGCTTTTGGCGAAATTTGCGGGAAATGATGGTAGTGGCCTGGAGAGATTCTAGCGTTGAATAATTTATTATATTGCTGTTAGTTGGCGGCCACAGAGGCCACGAGCCGTCCCCTGTGCTATGCCAATCTCTGGTTGCTCGATGGCTGCCGCAGTGGCGCCCCTATGGGGCACTCGCTTAGGAGCGCGCCGCCCCATAGCGCCACCCTCAAGATGACACTCGATGATGATGTTCGCACCGTCACAATCACCTCGACTATATCTTTGCTACCAGCAGTTCTTTGGTTGGCCACAATTCAGCCAAAAAGCTTTCTCTAATACTGGGACCAATGGACGGGTGGTGGGGGTTGGCAAGGCGGTGGGGTAGCAAGAGTCGAGGGGTAAAGGGCAGGGATATAGCACGCTCAGCCACTTAGAGATCAAGGCATCGTCAAAGTGATAGAAGAAGCCACCAGCAGCTACATTTACCGCTGAGGGCACAACAAGGCGCCCCCTTCAGCACTAGCTGCTGCTTTCATCCTGCCCGTTTTCGCTGATGCGGCTGGCGAGAGGAAGCGGTCTGAGCACCCCTTTTCTCATCCACCGCTTGCATCCGACCCTTCGTCTCATTCTCCTTATATATTCTCTCGGTATACCTTTCACCTTTCTGCAGTTTATCTATACAATTTATGGCCTGTCAACGTTGGCCACAAGGCCACGCCGGATCGACCTTCGTTTCCGTGAACCGCTCAACTGATGACAGCATAAATAGAACTAATCACTTGAAGGTTAAAGAAGATACAGTTATCTCAAAATAACGGCGATAATGCTACGGATGTTTTCTTCTACAATCGATGTATTGACGAAATCACAACTAATGATAATAGTAACTAGGTGCCGCGTTCACAAATGCCGTGTGTATCTTCGGTTTGCACGGTATTTGTCTGGTGACGCGCAGAACTTCGGCGTAAACATTCTGTGTTTCTTCTGTACAAATAAATCGCTTTTGTTCTCTAGAATATTCTCATCTATTATCCTATTCGGACTAGCCTATTTTTTACATTGGGTTAATACTCAGTCTTTACGTGCTAGATGAAGCCTAGCTTTATCTTTATTGAACGGAAATTTTTATGGTGGAATTTTATAGAATATAAAATACACTAACTAGCACTGTTTTATCGGGTGGTCAGCCAAAGTAGATGCATGCCAATTTTTCAAGTTGACCTCCCCCCTAAAGGCCACTTAGCATAATGTTCGCTGAGCGTCTGTCTTCAATAGGTCTTTTATTATCCCGCTTCCTAGCTACTGCCACGCTGACCGATGTCTAGCCATAACAAAAGTGACTGAAACCAGATCATTTTCAACTCGCCAGACACACTTCAGCGATTCACGTAGGCTGTATCTTGCGTAACTGCCCACCAAGTCAAATTCACAACTACCCTATGAGAATAAGTCGTTCGCTTCATCTGTATGAGCTTTCGTATTCTACAAGTGTTCAAATTGGCGCTTCGTGACTACTGCGCATTTTTTTAAATAGAATTTATATGAGTAGTTGCAATTTAGCCTTCCTGGCCAATTTCGAATTATAATTACTAATACAGTCTCTCGATTTTGAGCTCGAATTTACACTGTGCTACCACATAAAATCACTAGTAAATGCGTCCTTGCCATACCACTATACTCCGTGTGCCATGGGTCGATGGTGAAACAGTTAGGTTAAACTCAACCTAAAAAAACTGCTATGGCTGTTCGTATTAAAATGATCTCCTATTTTATTTGAAGAAAAAAAAACATGCAATTATGTGACTACCTGTGCATAGTGCGTGTAAACAAATTTCCTGTACAATAATGCTACATTATTATCATTCCCTAGATTAAAAAAAATCGTTGATACAGCGAAGGAGTAGAGCGTTGAAATGAAACCTATTATTTTCTCCCGGATAATACCCGTTAGTTGTATGACACTCAAGTGCGTTAAGCTCTTGAACGTGACGGTGTGGTGATGGCTTGTCTCAGACCAAGAGTTGCTTGACCCCTCAAAATGGTCCACGAAGCCCCCCATAGACGCCGTCTCGAATTTACACAGCGTTGCTCTACCACACCCCGTACTACCTCATTTATATTTTATCAGTTTAATCCAACAGAGAATGATTCGTCGTCTTTCACGTTTATGGAGAGAAGGCGAAAGCGAGACACGGATCGAAAGAACAAAGCCTACCTAAGTATGAATCCCCAAACCAAGCTCAGTTTTCAAGAGCAATATTATTTTAGCCACGTAAGTTATTTCAGACCTCGCACTAACTTTTTTTAAGTTTCGGCTAATTCAATACACGCAGACTTCTTGAACTATGAACTGAGACATTGACACCGCAGCATACACTAGGGAATTCAGAGAATCGAACTCGGTTCAGAGAAACGGATACTATTGCCTATGGACAGCAGCTCTGATTATACGTATGTCCGAAAATGTAAATACGTGTTAGAATCGTATATGTATTTATGTGGCATTTCGATCAGTTATGGTCAGGCTATGTCGTTACTTAAATACGATAAGCATATATAAAAGCGATGACCGTGATAATACCTGTTTGCGATGAACGATGACGATACATTGCGGGTAGACTTCATTCCTTTTTGGTAGTTGATAGTCGATTTTTACCCCGGGCCTTCGGTAGGAGTTGAAGAAGTTTTTATAAGTTTCCATACACAATGGCGAGCTTTTTGCGTGGATGGCCCTTGAAAAGTCCTGCTTAAGTTCCTCGCTAAAAAGTGCCACCATAAACCCTTATCAGCTTTAATCCATTACATAACAACGACCTCATGAGCAGATGAGATGACCGGTAATAAAAACCATTGAATGATCTGATGCATACGGCAAATGTCAATGTTAATGCAGAACCTGCACAAATCTTGGCGTTTGCAAATACTTAGTTAACCTATGCTGAAAAATATATAGCAGATAGCCCGTGAAAAAGCACAACGAAAACAATTATTACAAAGTTGGAGGATTCAATTATTATAGTTTTAAGTGAATGTCATGGAATACATGAAACTAACTATATTCATATGCGATATAATATTCTGAGCGAAGCAGAAGCATATTGGTGTTAAACCAATAAGGCCCAGTTTCCACCCATTCGAAATTCTCTTGTGCGCGCAGTCTTCTGCGACGAGTCGCGAATGGAAGTAAGCACCCCAATTGCTCTTTCTCTTATAGGACTTCATTAAAGACGACTTGCCTCGTTCCTGTTTCACTAAGGAAAGCGGCATTAAGCACCGCATTGAGTGTGGACCTCAAGACCTCTTGGGTCAGTGAACCAACAGTCTCGGCCCAATGACCACACCCGCACAGATCTTTTCAGTAGGATAACTCTATCCCTATTCAACATTCCCTAGAGGCCCACAAAGGGATACGTTGATGCTTGGAGTCTCAATTCAGATTACTATTAATCTGTATCGGTATCCCGCACAGACATGCTGTATTTGTCTGAGTTTGGCTGTCGAATTTTGTGGTCCTACTGCTGGCGTCGCAAGTCTCATAACAAAGATGGCAGAGGCTACGAATTGCAGCCCTCTTGTTCTTCCACGATGTTTATAGCACAATCCAGAGTTGATCCTCTGAACTTGCGTGTCGCTGCGACAGTTTGTAGAATCGCACTACCCGCAGACAACAACTGTTCAGATCACAATCATCAAGCGGAGATTCTAACATCATTGATAGTAGTTCGGTTTCTATTATTATCTGTGTTGTTGTCATTGATTGCGGGGGCGAATTGGCAATGTTAGCGCTTTATACTGAATAAGGTTAGCTGGATTCAAAGAAGGTTAACTGACAACTATGGGGAATATACCAATCGAATGTTGCCAGACTGCACTCCAGTCGATTTTTGTATACGTGCTTTGCTTCTCTTTGGTCTCTTCTCCTTTGGGTAATGACCAAATTCGTTATAGACCCTATAGGCCTCTTTCCCGCCTTCGCGACTGGCGGCGACGCAAGCAGACGAGGACTTTCTTCCTCAACGTCTCAAATACATCTACAGAGGGCGATGCATAAAGGAATAGACCCATAACAGGAAAAGATCGCTACAGCAACTTCATAATGGGCCAGCCAACTACGAGGCAGAAGTTAGAGGGCAGAGCTCGATTATCATTATAACACCGATGAAGCATTAGTGGTATGGATACTGCGAGCATAACTAATGGTCATTAAAATGACAGATATTTTTTTATTGTAATTCCTAATTTCAAATCGCGACACAATATGTAGGGCGTCTTATTTGGGTGAGCTAACTGGTTGTTCCACTTTCATGTTTATTAGGAAATGAGCAACATCGTCCTTTGCTAGATGTAGTTTTTGGCCGTTTCCAGATTTCTTGTGCTTGCTACAACAGCATGACCCATGTTTGTGAACACGATGCTTACTTAGTATCGGCACGCGCTGACGAATAAGGCAAACTTGTGTTTTGGAAAGGGGTGACGGCCGTAGCTGATACACTGCCAGCAAATGAATGAACAGCTGGCTCTGGAGCAGCACGCGAGCGAGTCTCTTGGGTGCACAGTTAATGAAGTGCCCTTAAAGAACGTAACTCGATTTAACAGACGGGCAAGCAAAGTACGTATATACATGGTCTGTGTACTGTTTAGGCTGCGTAAGAGAAGGCAGTCTGGTAGGGAGGAGCATGGGAATGCGTGCCGAAGCAGCCAGCGACTCTTGAAGTGCACTCTCGGAGCAGCGTAGTATAACTCGATGGGCGAACGAACGACTAACCGTTGCGATGGAACGGTCGGCTGTGGGAAAAACAGGCACTGCCTTCGAAGGCACTGCCTTCGAAGGCGCTGCCGCGTTGCGGACGAAGCGGTGAACTTGCTGTTTAGGTTGAATGGAAGTGGCGGGAACTTCAACTTGGCGCAAGTCCGAAACGAAGAAGCTTAATGCGCTGGTTCAGAAAAAGCCCGTCAAACGAGACGTTTAGCTACGTCACGTCTTTGGGATGAGCTCCTGGTACCATCTTAGATACCAACAACGACCATAAAAAAATGACCCCAACAATGTATTGGCCTGCTAGATCCTTAAGTCTGCAGAATTCTATCTAATCGAGGCTCTGAAAGCCTCTAAAATAAGTATATTCAGATGAATGCTAGAGCGATTCCAGTTATTTAAGGCTGCGACCTGTATCTATTACAGCACTAACGCTAGCCTATGTTTCCTATCATGACTATTATTATAAATTAAAATAAAAAAAAAAAAAAAAAAGGGAAGCTCTTTCGTGCAATTGTTCTTTAGACTCTAGCAGTTGTTTCTTCCTTTCAGCCTTCCTTTGTAGTTTCACGCATGTATTGCAGTGAAATCAAACCTATATAATAAATACGAAGTAGACGAACCTAACTGAGGGAAGCTCATTGGCCGACTTTTAAAGGCTGTATTGATCCCTGCCATAAAGCTATACAAATAATCTGGCGAATGCAATGCGTTCCCGTTCACCATGACGTATTTGGGTACACTTACTTACGTTTCGATAAGATGCTGGAAATGTAGAGCAAATATAATGAGTTCTGCTGTGAATGCTATTTGGTCGCGGGATGTCTTAAAGGTTTGACAGGGGAAGAGAAAGAATGCCGATTGATTGATGGGAAGAGGCGTAGGGTTCTTCAGGTACATGTCAGGAAGCCAAACCGTTGTCGCCTGTAATGGACCAAAGGGTTCCCGACGAACAATCCACCCATGAACGAAGTTCAAGAACAGCCAAAAAGTAAAAAAAGACAGGATATTATGGTTACACAAACGATCCTATTTAGAGCGAATAGATTAACCGCTGACCAGTATTTTATCCAAAAGCACAACACAATATATATAGCACGCATCCGACCTTCGACTGTTTCTTCTGTATTTAACAGATTAGTGCTGTTTATCAGGAGCTACCTTTCAGATTAGCGTTACACACAGTCGTCATTACGACTGTAATACGATAACTTCTGAAGCTTATTTTACGTATTAATGTTTCTTATATTAGCTGACCTCGATGTCAAATGCCATAGTTGATTTGCCCTACCCAATACAAGTACGTTTACGACGGATATGGTCATTGAAGGGCATAAAAGCAACTTACCCAGTTTTCTTCTTTGCTGGCCTGCCTTTCGACAAGCTTCTGGAGGATAGGCCCGTCATTTTTGGCAAAGTCTGCAACGATTTTTGTAGTTTTTTCGAAACCTGCTTTGGGCACAACAGCCTCAATGCCCTCTAAATAACGTTCCAAGGTGGATGTCAGCGTTGGAAGAGGAGGCGGTGGCAAATCTCGTATCCACGGCTTTAAACGAATTAAGAAAATAACAAATGGTTGTTAGAGGGCAACTTAATTACCATAATTGCGACACATACCATAATTGCCAGAGCGATGTCTCGGCGCATCTTGTTAAATGCCTAGCAAGTAATTATCAGTGCGACACTGATATGAGCATTTAACGAACGTACTGTTTTGTTTGATGTTTACTTTTCATAGTAATTTAATACCAGAGCTACATAAAGGGAACAGAGTTGACTGTCTTTAAGGCGCCTCATTTGATTGAACCTCAATTATTTCTTCTTTATAGGGGTTCTGTGTAAAGCCGTTCTTTCATAGAGCGCGCGATATAAATCCACAGTATAAATGCATGAAGTTTAAAATGCGAACATTGTAAAGCCTAGTGGGCTCGAAATATTCCCCTTATTAATAGTAATGGCGACTAGTTTGAGTTCGGTATTAACAATCAGCATTGCCATTGTTAAGAGAATCACTAAAAAAAAACGTACATGAAAAGTGAAGCTTGTTTACCTGTGGTAAAACGATACTGGCTGTTATTAATAAAAGTAAATAAATAAAATTCAAATAATATTAAAGTTCTATTCGCGAGACTAATTTTAGCTCTTACCAAGACTTAAGCAGTACCAAATGTGGCCATAGGGCCTGAGTATAAATGTCCCAGCTGTGTTGGGAGTCCTTTATATCTAGCGCTTTCGATTGTTTTGCAAAGATGCAATTGACGATCTATAACAAGAGGGTTCAAGATGACCTTTCGTTGTGTACTGGCATATACTTGTCCTCGAGCAATGTGATTGTTTATAAAAACAAATACCCCTCGAGAATATCTTGATGTATGCGTTTTTTGTTCTATGCTACGTTGACGATTTCAAATTTCCCTGTCAAGCTTACCCTTTCGAGGCGGTCAATATTGTAGAAGGGTCGACCGTATACGCATTAAGATGAGACCGCATTGAAGGGAAGTCAAATGGATCGATGAACAGGTAGAGCGGAGAATACAATTCACCGTTAGAGCGAGCTAAGAGGAATCGCAATTAGATGAATCAACTCCCAAATCGAATGAAAGCCCTTATACTCCTGGCGATACTTTTATGTCTACTTTTATGTATATTAGTTTGGCATCGATTTTCTTAAATGGCCCCTCCCCGAGAAAGAACGCATGCAGTCGTACACACATATTTGAATATATGCAAGTGTATATAACTGTCGCTGTTATATTCAATACCGAAAGCAACACATTTTCGATTTAACCATCTATTCCTTTGTTGCCAGTACCGATGTAACAAGCTCCCTCCGGCTCTTGCCGTTACCAATTACATCGAGTTCGGGCAGTGAACGTAGAAGTAGCGCTAGCCGCTCACCAACAAGCCCGTCGGATCGAGCTGCCGAACTACTGCCAAGAAAGACACCGTTTGCCAAAAGGCCCGTAGCGCCTCGACTGCATAGATTCCCCAAGTCCTGGGGGAGTCGTAAGCGATGCCAGTGGAAACTTCTACGGTAGAACCATTTCAGCATTCAGCTCGAGCATCAGCTTTCGTCCTGTACAGCGAAGGGCTACAAACGACGCACAAGGCAGCTCCGATTCTGCTCCTGACCGATCCGATCGGGCGAGGTTCGCTTAGAATCCTCGCACAGTTATTCAGCCTCATCTTGCCAGCTACTGCTTCTTCTATTGCCTCCTATCCGCCGGCTCTATAAAGCTCCTTTCTACGAGAATGGAATAGAGGGGCAGCGGGAGAACAGGGTAAGGATAGGGGAGATGTATGCGCAGTGATCAGTATACACTTCGGACTTGCCGGTGAAAAATGTTTGGGAAGCCCGACCCAAACCACAGGTATATAACAACACCGATACAGCCGCATCGGGTACAGGTTGAACAGGGCAAAGCGTCAAGGCTGGAGCTATTAGTTCTGTGCTGTTGCGGCAATTAGATAATTAGTAGGCTGTCATTGAGAATAAGAAACAGTTATTTCAACGGGATCTGTTAAAGCAGGACCTGTTCAGGCGGAGCTTTTTAAGGAGGCCTAACTATTCAATATCGAGTGTTAGCTGAATGTTGCGTCGCACAGTGTGCAAGCAGCAGACGATAATGTTTTTGAATACGGCTATGTTTTAATGGTAAAGTTTGCAACAGTATCAGAAAACTGGGTGGTTCTGACGTCTCGAGCTTTTTGAACCACGTGTCTTAGCTCATGCGCTTTAAGTACATGTCTTCTCATATCAAAAGGGCCGAACATCGATCATCCGGTGTTTTCTTGCACACGTGCATTTATAACGGGGAAAAATGCCCGGACAAAAGCTGTACTAGTATCATCGTTGTCAATATGAACCATCGTCCGTTGATCAAACAATTCCAGGATTGTTCTGCCCATGTGGCTACATATAAGGTGAGACATCGCCTGACGATCGCCCCACCCCGCTCGACATTCGATATGCTTGTCACCGTAGAAATAGTCGCGTAAGGTAGGGCGGGGATGGAGCACAAATACGGCGGTATAAATACATTCCGTTATACATACATAAACACCATATGATATCCCTGAAGGCGAAGTCCCATTTTCGATCCCCCCCCAGGAGCGGATGTCGGCGGGTGCAGGAGGCAATGCATCATATTTGCACGTCGAATCACCCACACCTTGAGGAGAGCAATCTACACATACTTATATGGGCGGTACACTATATATGTATATAGACTGACAGGGTTCATCATATCTAAACATGAGCTCCTGTCTGACCCCGACACAGTGCGTGATTCCGAGCAGCTGAAAAGATGTGCCGTATTTAATAAACTGCTTCCGATTCCTTCAAGCTATTTTTGTTCAGACAAGACGGAGCTTGGTGGCACGCTGCTTCTTGAAATCTCTCACCCACAGCATTCACTTTTTTCTTTCTATGTACTCTCCTAGTTGTAACAGGACGACGAATGCCGCACTGTAGAAGGTGGACAGCGAGAAACAAGCCATAGACTTCGCTTGGCACGCTCGAGGAGCTGCTGACAAGAATACACGATGAGGTTGATATCACCAGTAATGGTGGTTGCAACAGCGAGCTATAGTGAAGGTTCTGCTTGCCAGACCTATACGTACGGTACCCCTTCCCCCCTCCGAGAGTGATTCGGGCAGTTGGTAAATAGTAACATAATTGGGTTAGTTCTTCGGCTTGTGGAAGCAAAAATTAGTGTTTCAAGCCACCATAGTTCTTAAGCTGGAATTTCTTTTACGTTTTGTGCATAATATACGCTGGGTTGTGTTGATCGTGAATCGCCTCCCTCAAGAATATCAAGGCTTTAGAGAAACACAGTATGCCTATTGATCTGTCGTGCGCCTTACTATTTGGTTAAGTAGAATATTTGTGATGTGTCCGGTCTAGCTATAACTTACGAGAGTCGAAGATTAGCTGTAGGAACTACAACGCTTATATAAGAAGAAAAGTTATATTAAAGCTAATTTATACAAAAGAAAAATAAAAGTTAAATTAAAAAAAAAAAGACTTCCAACATTGTCTTTGAGCAATTACTTTTCAAGCTCGGAATATTATCAGTTAGCATGTTTATAGATAGGTCCGATGATTTATCCACTGCATATAAATAATGCTTAGCGAAGAAAGGTTGTCGTTGTAATACAATACTACAATAATATGCTCTGAAGGGCATCTGTGTAATCGCATATTTAGGCTATTTCGATGGTTCGGCTTTCTTATCGTTGCGCAGCCTCTTTTATTTTCTCATGTGGACGATGATGACTTTTGCCCCTGCCTGCACTGTTTCTTTTTGTTGACAAACGAAGTCCACATCTCGGTCTTCTGTTCCCAGCTTTTCGTCTGGTCAAGCCCGCATTGAGACTGGGATGCCAGGATCTCGATATAGATCTAAGACGACGAAGGAAGCTTTATTCCTTTTCGCGATTCAGATTTTCCTTATGAAAATAAGTACGACTGAGCCTCGCAATGAGGCTGTGATGTGCAAGGGAATGCAATGGGCTGATGGGATATTTGGTACGCACTATAAACTCAGCGTAAACCTACAACATAGACACGGGGATTGGTCGATTCGGGACGAAACATCATGATCGGATAAGCCAAGAATAACACGGGAATTACATTTTGAGAGTTAGTTTTCTCGTCGTCTGCTCTCTAGATGCGACACTACAAATACAATATCGTATTGTCTGCATATAGAACGAAAAAGTCTACTCAAAGAGGAACAGAAGTGATGCAAAAGGAATAGGAGAGGTCAATCTAATATGGATAGTATTCTAAAGATGTTACTCGTCGACTTTCGGGCAATATCTAGCATTACTGATTTGTTAATTTCTAATCAGCTTCAATATTTGTGGCCGATATGAAAAGCAATCGCTGATCCTATATCTGACACACACGTTGATTTGGAGAGTCTGTATTATTGCGGGTAATTAACTTAACCAAAAACGGAAAATCGACATTTTCATTCAGTAGAACAAATGAAAACGGTAGTATTTGCTGAATATAATATTGATTGCAAAAAGACATTCAATCTATAGCTAAGAGTCAACCATATCCTTTTTATTCGAATCTACAGGGGTTATTTGAAAATGCGCGCCATCGCAGATGGTGACATTCTCAAAAGATTTCTACTAGTTCTGGCTATTTAATCTATATAGAAAATTGTTTCGTTAGTCCGTCAGACACAAATATCTACGATACAATGTATTGTAGTCTTTACCCCATATAGCACTATGAAGCACAATCACATTACGCTGTTGTAGGCCACTCGCGTCGTATTTTATATGTGCACCCTATTATATTATTATGTCATTTTATTTCGCAATAATTGCAACTATTATGAGCGTAATTCTGTACGCAACTCTGTTTGATATACTTGCCAGATCGTGCCATTGTTCCTGTTTTTTTTTTTATAGCAATTTCAGCGTTATGAACATGAACTGGAATAAGTTGAGGCAGTTCTAAAACTCGTTTTGGATGGCATGAGGCCGTCGCGATGGCGCAATTTAAACTCGTCCATCCGCTCAACA